TTCCGCGGCCCGGCTGGGAGCGGCCGGGGGCGGTGCCTGGGCCGCGGGGAGGAGCGGCCGGGTTGGGGGGGTGCGGGGCTGGGCTGGAGGCGTGGGGGGTGCTGGGCTGGGCTGGAGGCTGGGGGGTGTTGGGCTGAGGGGGGCAGCCGGGCCGGGCTGACGCTGCGCTCTCCCCGCAGAGGATGAGATGTTCTCCGATATCTACAGCATCCGGGAGGTCGCCGACGGGCTCTGCTTGGAAGTGGAGGGGAAGGTGAGTCACCGGGCAGGGCCCGCCCGGGGCTGGGGGACACGTGTCCCGGCAGCTGCTGGGGACGCTGCTCCCTGCCCAGGGCGCGCGCCGCCCCGAGCGCTTCCCCGGGACGCAGGCCGCGGAGCTCGGAACTACCCCCACCACCCCGGGTGGCTCTGTGGCCCGAGCCCCCGGCCCATTTCTGGCCTATTGCTCCCCAGAGGCCCAGCCTCTCCGCGGGTGTAACCAGCAAGGCTGTCTGGTAACCTCAGCTGCTCGCTCCGGTCTGCTCGGGGCCAACAGGCAGTGTCGGGAGCGAAGCTGCTATGGTGTGGGGGCAGCTTTGGCCAAGCCCTGTTGGCCCTCCCCAGGGTATCCACGCTTAGAGTAACAAGGGCGAGGGGTTAACTTGGAGACCAGCACAGTTGAAGGTAACTCACCTTATTTTGGTCCCTCCTGCTAGCAGATCAGTTAACTATGGTTTTTAGCCCTTTCCTGAAATAGGTACCAACTTGATTTGTTGCTAGTGACTAAAAGGAAGCAAACCACAGAGGTGACTGGCATGTCTGAGAATACTTTGTATAGCTTTTGGTGGTGGTTTATCATTCGTATCAGGACTTGGCACAGAAATAGTATACCAGTACTGACCGATAGCTTTAATCTGTATGGAAGTCCTAGCCCTATTTACCTGATAGGACAGTCGAAGAATTCAGTGCTGTTATTGTTAAATAATGGGGTAGTTCTATAGTCCACTTCAGCTTTAAAATGAGCAGTTCCTGAATTGACTGACAGCAGCAGTAGGACTGAGTTGATGGTGCTTTGCTAAACAATGTAAGTATCATTTGGTTCTGGGGAGCTTTTCTCTAATGAGCTTTTGGTGTTCTCTTTAAATCTAGATGGTCACCAGGACAGAGGGTCAGATTGCTGATGCTTTAATTGGTGGCAATGCCTCCTCTGAAGCTATTGAAGAAGGAACAGATCCCACAGTTATCACTGGTGTCGATATAGTAATGAATCACCATCTTCAGGAAACTAGCTTCACAAAAGAGTCCTACAAGAAGTATATCAAGGACTACATGAAAGCGTAAGTGAAAATTGGTGTTACCCTTGAACTCACCTGTGAGTGGTACTTCACAAATTTCACCTCCTTAGGTATCCTCTTCCCAAAAGCAAGTGTGAGTCATGGTAGATGCTGATGTGTGGTGTGGTCATTTTGACACTTTAATAACCTCAGTGTATTTGATGAAGTGGATTTTAGCCCACAAAGGCTTATGCCCAAATAAATTTTAGTCTCTAAGGTGCCACCAAGGACTCCTCGTTGTTAGTGTTCCAATAGTTTGCCATCATTTGAGACTCGTGCTCCCCTATACTTCAATCCTCGTTTCAGAGAATGGTCTTAACTAAGGTACAGGACTTGTTCATGAGGTGTAGGTCTTACCCTTGCTTTCCTGTTCCATTGAGTATTGCAGGCGTTTTATGTATAAAACGGGAATGTTTCCTCTACCCCACACAGCGAGGCTTGATGCACTAACATTTATTAGCCTCATCACCTTAGATGAGAGGCATTCTAGAACTAGTGTAAGTCTAGAATATTTGTAGGTAAATGCTTGTGTTATAAACTGTAATCTAGATTTCCAGGAAGCTGTTTAAAATTTGACACAACAGAAAATGTTTCGTTGCCTAAACTTATGCATGTAAATAGAATTCTGATCTAATTATCCAACTGACCAGCATCCAGACTCATAACTTTCTTCCCTCCAAGTGAAAGGTACTCCCTCTAACTTGGGGGTCCCATCTTGGGCCCCTTCTATCTATATACGTTTTTTTTTTTTGCTTGGAACAGTACTCTTGCTGCTATGGAACTCTACCTACTCTCCACACATCCATGAAAGTACTGTTAGTAGCTTTTTTTAGCAGCCAGAGCATTTTGCCTTGCGGGTGTCAATAGTCAGGGAGCTGGGGGTATTAGGAATGCTGGTTCAGCAACAGCAGGCGAACTTCTTCACCGTTGGCATGAAGTGACCCCGGTCTGCTGAACATCTTTGTTTGTTAGATTCTAGTTAAGAGCTTGTTTTTCTTTTTAGAATCAAAGCCAGACTTGAGGAACACAAGCCAGACAGAGTAAAGCCTTTCATGACAGGGGCTGCAGAACAAGTCAAACACATCCTAGCGAACTTCAAAAATTATCAGGTAAGCTTAAAGAGCTTTAACTATTTTTGTAGTATAAAACAAAGGACATAACTGTGGTGATTGGGGGGGGGGGTTGCCTTCAATCTACCTTTTTCCAGGCTGTCTAGTCATACTCTATAAATGGCTCTAATGTGCTGCTTGTTCATGGCTTTCCTGAGCAGTAACAGAATGGAGTTGACCTGACTCTTGACTTTCACTGCCTACAAGGCTCTGAATAGAAATAGTACAGTTGACTAAAGTCTAAATATCACAGCTTTGCCCAGCTGTTGAACGTACAGTGGAGGCCTTGAAACTGGCTTACTTATTTGGAAGGCTCTAATCATAAGAGCTAAAACTCCTCCAAAAATGGGCTTTGATTCATTAGAAGTTGATGGCCCAAGGAAACTTTCTAGATCTGGATGAGTTGGTTGTGTGGTGTGGTTTTTTCTCTCAAAAAAACACTGTCCATAGAGTATTTTGGTTACTCATAGTTAGTCTTTACCTCATAGTACATTCATAATTGTAGTAACACCAATTCTTTTTCCAAGTTCTTTGTAGGCGAGAACATGAATCCAGATGGCATGGTGGCTCTCCTGGACTTCCGTGAGGATGGAGTAACTCCATATATGATTTTCTTTAAGGATGGTTTAGAAACTGAGAAGTGTGTAAGTACTGAGTTCTTGAGTCAAATTATTAACCTATTTAAGTATGTGGCTAACTTCCCTGGGGTATAAAATGTCCACTGTTGCAATATAAATGTTGCACATTACTGATTCAGAGTAGCTTTGGGACTAGAATCACCTGTCAAAATGTCGATGTGACTGCACTGATTTTTGGGCTCCATACTGGTGGGTAGGTGGTGAAATTTAATAGCCTCTGATCGCTAGTCTGACCTCCTATCTATATCTAATGGTCCCTTCTGGCATTAAACTGTGAATTGTACTGAAACAGTACTAGAAGGCATCTATTATCAAAGATGTAGTCCCACTACAGAGATTAAATCAGAGCAGTGGTGGTATATTTCATGGTGTGGTGTTCCCCATATAGATTCCATGCTTTTCTCTGGTAATCCTTGTGGTTCTTGCCTAACCGTATACTAGGGCGGTATTTAAGACAAGTTAAAACCTCTAATGCAGGTGATGTGGTTTCTTGGGTTACATTCCAGTACATAAACTCTAGATTGCTGCAGCCCCCATTATACTCTAACTGTCCATCTTGGCTCACGCCTTCCCTTCAAATTCAATTGGCCTCAAACTTAGTGAATTACACAACTTGGCCAAAGCAGGTTAAATGCCTTCAGGTTCTAGAAGTGCTCTTTGAAGAGTCCTGCACTGGGCCACAACCCATGAAAAGAATTGCTGTTGATCATAGTGATGAAACTGATGCAGATACTGACTCTGTTCTCTAGTCATCAAGTATCCAGGATGAAATTAATTTGATTATAATCAGCCACAGCAAACCCCTTCCTTTAGATTACTTTGATGGGGCCAGTACTGCAGTTAAAGTAGCTGTGAACAATATTAATCTAGGAAAACCAGGTGCAAGGCATTAAACTTGCACTAAAGTCTATTGTAAATTTTCTGGTATGTAAGAGTTTTAAAGGTGGCCAGCTAATTTTTTCCCTACTCTTGTAGGATATCCGACAAATTTCGTACAGCACTAACTATGCTTGTTAACTCTTGCAGCTCTGATTTCTCAGGGACATGCAGTTTTCACACTGTTAGAATAAAGTAGTGAACAATGGGAATATCTTCCCCACTTGGGCTGAGCAGAAACTTTTTTATGCATCACTTTCTCAATCTACCAGTGCACTAAAGGTCTAACACTATTGATTCCAGGGGTGGGTAGCAGGAAACTTTCGTTTCTTAGAATGCTCTACCTTGAAACTGTCACACAACTCCTCTTGATTTTATCAGATTTGTACCATGTTCTGTAAAGCTTAATCAGTCTTGTCCCCTGTGAACCTGAACTTGTATTCAGGAGGTGGCATAAGATGAACCCAGTCACATTGCCCTGCCAGCAATGGGGGTGGGGAGGGAAGAAATCTAGGTGGCCATTGTTCTGTTTGGTATCTTTAGAAAGCTCAGAGCATCAGCAGCTCTGAAAGCTTGTAGAGATGTTATGCATCCTCTGATAGACCTTGAGCAATTCTCCTGCTGCTCCTGGGTTTGCACTGTGATGCAAAAGGAACTTCCTTGTGCTTTCTGCCTGCCTGGTCATGTGGCAGCTCAGACTGAATTGGGGAACACATGCAGAGTTTAGAGACACCATTGCTTGGCTGAACCTGAAATAACCATTGTATTCTTGTTACAGTAACAAAACCGAGCAACTATTTTGGATCACCTGTCATCATAACTTGCTGCTGCTCTTTCCTCATCAACACAACACCAGGACTCAGCAGTGTTGACCAACTGGACTGATACCATCTTGAGCTTTATTCACTTATTTTTGACCCTGATTTGGAGTGGAGGCATTGTTTTAAAAAAAAAAAAACTTGTCATGTAGGTTGTCTAAAATAAAACTCATTAAACCCATTCTAGGTAATGCCTGTTGGTCTAATGTGTTTCTTAAGCTGAACTACTACAGTAAGCTTGCTGCAAGTCTTGTGCCCAAGGACCTTTATATTTGTTGGTAATATAGCCTGATCCTAGTACACTGCAACTTAAGACTGTCTTCAGATAGACTTCATGCAAGTCACTACTTGAGACACTGGAATGCGAGTGCAGGCTCCTAACTTCTGCCTGCCTAGCAGTCTGAGGTGAATAAGGGAAATGTCCAAAGAAGTGCCATCATAATGAAGTGGACCCTCTGCATCTCTCACAGTTCTACAAACTGAAGTAATTAACTCTCTGGAAGAGATACCAAAAAACAATAAAACAAAACTGAATTTAAAGCTATTAATATGGAGTATTGGCTGAGCTTCTTGATCAGGCAAGGATATTTGGTTTCTTTACATTGCACAGCAAGCTTAAAGCAGGGGCAGAAGATCTCAGTAACAATGCGGATGTTGAGCTAGTGCATGTGTACAGGGGAGGGTGTGGGAATGCAGCTAATATAAAATTACAGTATTGCTTTATGGACTGTCTACAGCTACTACCAAACCATGGAGCAGTATTCTCACAGTGAGCAGCAGTGCGTAAGTGATCAGTGATAGGATTAAGTAGACTTCCAACTGGCTTGATAGGTGGGACACTGGATATACCTGAACTAGCTAAACTATTCCCAATGAAAATATGATGTAGGTTGTGACAGGAAAAGAAGTGTTGGAGAAAGGCAATAGAGACCGCCTTGCTACTTAGGTAAAGAATGCAGGGCTGGGGTTGTACCTTACAGCCCCTTCAATAATGTACCCAGCTTTTCATTTGGTGTTAGTCCTTGCTGGAGGATTGTCACTAATAATGCATCTACTTGACAGACCTGGAGCATGTGACCATTGCTTCTCTGGTCCTCACTAGGATGCAAGAGTAAAACTGTTCCTTGCGCTTTCTGCCTGTCAGCCTGTGGCAGTCCAGATTGAATAAAGGAATATAACTAGCCTAGAGCAATTACTGTTAAACTAAAATAGCTTGACATTAACAAGCATGGCAATAGTGATTGGAAAGGTATACCCAATCCTTCCACCAATAGCCTCTTCAAAGGGTTTCTGCTACCTGTGACCAGTTTAGGGTGGGTTTCAGGGCAGGTTGCTGTTAGATCA